GGGTGCAACGAACAAGCAAGCCGGGACGACGGGAAGGGCGATGAGGATGATGAGGATCGCGACCACAGACGCAAAACCCGACCTTCAGCAGGGCCAGGTGTCGGGAGACAGGTGGACATACATACATGCATGCATACTGTGTAGGTCATAAAGTGCGGGGACGTTCTCCAGGGCTGAGAGGGGACGGCTAAAAGGGAAGCAGTACCCGGCCGCAAGGGGCCCTGCTGCCACGCGGGGGCGGGCGGGGACACACGCGGATCATCTTCAGCCCTGGGCCCTAGGACCCACGGCCAATACCAGCAATGGATGGATGCCTATTCCCACCTTCCCCCCATATACGGGGCCACCCACCCCGCCACACACACGCACACATACACACCCGCGCCTCACCTCATCCGCCACGTTCACACTAACACCCCCCTCCAGCAACTGACCAATCCGAACCAGGTCAAACGCCAAACAGGCCTTCATCAGGGCGGCCTGATGAGGGGGGAGTGGGGGTGGGGGAGGGGCGGTGTGTGTGTGTGTGTGTGTGTGTGTGTGTGTGTGTGAGAGTGCCTATGCTTGTATATGTGTATGTACGACCAGTACAGCACCCAAGTGGGAGGTGTGTGTCCTGACGCGCGCGCCGGGTTTCACGCCACAGCACCTGTTGTGAAGCTCCCGGGGAACCTTCAGATCCAACGCCGCCGCCGCCGCCGCCGCCGCCAGCGTCACGGGCGGTAGCCCACCGAGCCACAGCGCTGTGACCTGACACGTCGCCGGCATCACCACCACCACCATCACCATTGGTGTTACTGTTGCCGCTGGCAGCGGCAGCGGCAGCGACAGCAGCGGCAGTCGTCGGTAACCCAGATGACTCCGCCGCTGCCGCCGCCGTCGCCGCTGTCACCGTCAACAGCTCCGCAGTCCCAGCGGCCCCCCTCTCGCCTTCATCCTCTTCCTCCTCCTCCATGCTCCTGGTAGTGGCGACCGCATCGGCAGACGCGGCGGCAGACGCGGCGGCGGCGGTTGGAGGAATGGTGAAGGCGTCTGTTGCCGTGCACCTGGGGCGATCCAGGCTATCCTGTCCGGCAACACCAGAGCCGGAGCGGAGACCGAGAGCCAAACTAACACAGCCCGCTGCCGACTGCTTGCTGCCGCTGGAACCGTTCTTCGGTACGGCAGGTAGGTACGGCATACCCGCCGGCCGCACGACGCGTGGGTTGCAGCCGTACCGCCGTAGTAGCGCCGCCATCTCCTCGACCACCCCCCTCAGCACCTCAGCTCGGTCGGGCCGCCGGTATGCCGCGGCCGCCGCCGCCACTCGCCCCTGGCCCGGTCCCGGTCCCGGGCCGTGCATGCCTGGATCCGTGCCCTGTCCCCCTCGTCGTACCTCCCCCATCAGTGCTGCCAAGCTGAGCGGGCCCTTGGGGACCCTAGGAAGTGAGGCGACCTGCGCGGGGAGGGGGGGTGATGACGGGGGGTGGTGACACGAACTCATACGCACGTCGCATGTGCGGCCTTGCCGACTATATGATGACAATCTCTCTCTCTACCAAACGTACAAACAGAAAAACAGACACACATACTCTTTCTTTTAACCCCTGTCCCTGCACTCCAAACACGAAGACACACTGCGCGCGCACCGTGTACCCTCCCGCCCCCTCCCGCCCCCTCCCGCCCCAGCCCCCCTCCCAAACCCACATATGGCTCCACCGCGGGTGGTGGGTATCCGCCACTCAGCCACACGGGAATGATCCTCCGCTGGTGCCTGTCCGCCAGGTCCACCTCGCGAAGGCTCCATTTGCTTTCGCCGTAACTGGGGGAGAGGGGGGAGAGGGGGGAGAGGGGGAAGAGGGGAGGAGGAGAGAGCAGGCAGCAGGCAGGGGATGGATGCGGTGAGAGGAGTAGCATAGTGACCGGGGGAAGGGTATGGATGCAGGCGGAGGGCAGTGTCTGTGTATACGTGTATGTATCGTGTGTATGCCTGTGCACATGTATGTGAATTAAAGGGGGAGGGGATGACCCCTAGGGCCACAGCAGCAGCAGCAGCAGCAGCACAGCTCTCACCCCGGGGTGCAGATGACCAGCACCACCTCGCAGTTTGGAATGGCCTTGGCGACCTGGGTCGCCCAGCGGGGGCCCTCCCCCTCATTCCCCTCATCCTCCACGACGGAGGCAGGGCCAGGACCCGCGGGGAGCACCGCGTAACCCAGTTGCTGGAGAGCGTCACGTAGGTCCCAAACCAGGCTGGAAGGAAGGTAGGGAACATGGGAATAGAGCGAAGGGGGAACAGGGCCAGCATTGCAAAGTGCGATATGGCGTTTGCCGCACGGACGATGGAGAGAATGGGTTGGGGAGCGATTTGGGTAAGTTCGCGTTACGGCGTCGCGAGGAAAATAAGTTGGTTTATGTAATTATATAATGTTAGTAACATGGGATTGTCTGCGGATGCGTAAGCGGATGTATAGTGTCATGCGACGGGCGTGGGGCCAAGTTGGTAGGGGGGCGGGATTGAAGTGAGCATGGACTGGTGCCGGGCAGCTTCGAGTGCTCAGGGAAGTCAAGAATATGTAAAGTTCACTTTTGTATGTTGTTTGGGGGTTACGGTTTGACTATCGGTGCGACTATGACTTGCTTGGGAGCCGAATGTCGCATGGCCGACGGCTCCTCTCTCACCCGCCATCGCCTCCGTTGTAATTCTTAACGCAAATATCCTTCTTTTGGTAGCTTATGACTATTTGATAATGGTTGACGCTTGGTGAAGGAGAACGCGTAGAAGCTAAATTCCTTCGGAACACGTCCTGTTCCTGTTGACTTCGGCTCCAGCTTCGCCCTCCAGAACTAGATGGCATTCTTATTCATCAAAGTTTAACTTGCAAGGGCTACATAAAGTTGGATTTTCAGGAAGTGTGCGTGCCGATGGCAGTTCAACTGCCAAACGTCATACATCTTGTAGCTTACTGAGAGCATGGGGCCTTTGTTATCGCTTGCGTGTTCTTTGGCCTTGCAGCCTGGTCCCCTTTCGAATCAAAAATGTTCGACGACGGTAGGAATGGCCAGCGGCTGTACGAATCATTACGGGTAGCAACAAGACGACGACAGGGAGGTGGTTTTTATGGATATTGCCCGATATCATCGATGCTTGGAACATATTAGTTTCGTAAGTCAACCCATGGAGGAGGACAGCGGCTGTGTGACGCGCCACAACCCATCACAACCTCTGCAGAGCCCCTTCCTCACGATGTCAGCCGCACATCTCCCATCTGGCCTTTCCCGCCCCAGTACCAACTTTTCCAACCACATTCATCGCTTCATTCCATATTGCTCCGCAACTAATCCTGTCATGGGTCCTCACGTTCCCGAGCTGCATTGCCTTCGTCGCTGCGCGTTAGCGCACTCCGTACCTTGTCCCCCCAAACCCGTCCCCGTTGTCCAAACCAGCTCCGATTCAACCGAGACCCCACCCCCCTGCCCATACCAGTCACGAGAGTCCCAAAGCCCTGAACTGACGTGCCCGGAGCCCCACCCACCCCGGCAGGCCCCAGTCCCGAACCAGGCCCTTTGGGCCCCTTGTCCTTAACTGATTTACTTGAAGTGGAAGTGGACGGCAGGCCATGCTGCCAAGTACATTTGATTTGGGACGCATAATGCTGATGATATAAGCAACACAACCCGCTAAAAGGCAGAAGAGTAAAACTATTTATGTAATTGTTTGCCTGATGAAGTCACTAGGCCACAAGGAATGGTGATGATTTAAGGAACACACACGGGCGCGTGCAAAGGAGGGCCACGCTTTTAAGTGAATCGTATCCTGTGCGGGGGCGCTCCCTACAAACTCTGAGCCGCGATAGGGGACAGGTGATGACATGAAAGTGTGCTTCATTGCATTGATATGAAAGTGTGTTGTGTATATCTATGTTGTGAATGTACGTCTGTACGTGTGTATGACCTCCCCGCTGCGCTAGCCAGTCGATCGAGCCGCACCACACGACACCACACACACAAACCGGCAGTAGGACCCCTTCGTTGTATTGGCTTGTATCGGCTTCTAGTGTGTTCTTCAGCACAACTCCTTCGCGAGAATTCCCCAAAACCCCCACTGCGCGCCGTCCCGGAGGCCGCCGCTATCCCTACCGCCGCGTCCCCGCCCCCGCGAACATCACTACTGCAACTGCTTTTCCTATCCTGCCCCTACCTCCACCTCTGCACCCCTACCACAGCCGTTGCCACTGCCTCCCTACAAATCTTCTTGTCGCTTGCTGGTTGACACGGTTGCCGCCGCCGTCGTCGTCGTCGTCGCTGGTGTGTTCGTGGTTCCGGAGCCAGTTTTCGTCAACGCGGCCGCCCTCTGCTCCCACGCCTCCTTGGCCGCATACCCCAATTGCGATATCCTGGGCACCAGCTCCTCGTACAAGGTCCACACCAGGGCGGTCTGGGTGGTGCGCTTCAGGATGCGGGGGGCCGCACCTGGGCGTGTAGGGGCGTGTGGGGGCGTGTAGGGGCGTGTAGGGGCGTGTGGGGGCGTGTGGGGGCGTGTAGGGGCGTGTGGGGGCGTGTGGGGGCGTGTGGGGGCGTGTAGGGGCGTGTAGGGGCGTGTAGGGGCGTGTAGGGGCGTGTAGGGGCGTGTGGGGGCGTGTAGGGGCGTGTAGGGGCGTGTGGGGGCGTGTAGGGGCGTGTAGGGACGTGTGGGGGCGTGTGGGGGCGTGTAGGGGCGTGTAGGGGCGTGTAGGGGCATGTAGGGGCGTGTAGGTGTGTGTAGGGCCGTGTAGGGGCGTGTAGGGTAGAGTGAGTGTGAGTGTGTAGGACGGGGGGGCCGGTGGGTTTCACGACTTTGCAAACAAACATGCTTCCCTGGTGCTACTGCTACTGCTACTGCCCTGACCTGTCATCAACGCCGCCGGTCCCTGCTGCCGTAACGCCTCATGTAAAGTGGCCCACGCCCCCAACCTTGCTGCGGCCGTGAGTCCTGAACCCGTCGCCGTCGCCGTCGCCGTCGTGGCGGCGGCGGCGGTGGCGGCCGCGCCTCCTAGCCCCAGTTGCATGCGTGTCCGTACGACATCCGCTGGCTGCGTCAGCAGTGTTGCCGCCACGGCCGCCACCACACCGCTGGCGAAGTTGACCAGCACCTGGGGGCGGTCCTCCCTGGAGAAACCCTCCTTGAGCCGGGTGTAGAACATGTAGTACAAACCTGTGCGAGGTGCCGTGGGCGTATGTGTGTGCATGTATGTATGTATGTATGTATGTATGTATGTATGTATGTATGTATGTATGTATGTATGTATGTATGTATGTATGTATGTATGTATGTATGTATGTATGTATGTATGTATGTTTGTGTGTCAAAAAACTTCACGTCACGAACAGGCGTCTGCGAGGGCTGTGCTTCAAGACGCAAACGCCCCGGGTAGGGATGGCAGTCACTCGAAAGCAGTTTCAGATGAGAGGAAGAGGTCCCCGCTGGCGGGCGTAGGGTCGTGTGGTGGTGAATGTGGAGTGGAAAGAACGAGAGCTAGCGAGCTGGCGGGGGCGGGCGGGGGGCCCAGGGGCGGGATTGTTATTTCACGTATCCCGGCCGGGCCGTGAGGGGAAGCCGCACAAAAAAAACTCACACATACACATACACATACATACATATACACGTCAGAGGAAGGTGAGGACGACGTCAAGTCAGCATGACACTCGCGCAAAATTTTCGGCTAATAAATATTTGTACGACGGCTCACCCGAGTACGGCGCATTCGTGAGCACTGTGGGCCACAAACCGCGAAACAAGCCCCTCACGCCCTCTGTTCGCACAATCGTAGACATTGCATGGAACGTGTCCCGGTACCGTGGTACGGCAGCGCCGCCGTACGGCGCCGCCCCTGTTGCTGCTGCCCCCGATGTCGATGCCGAAGCGCCCGCCGCCGCCCTCGCTGCGCTCGCCGTGGCCGCCTCCCCGGCTCCCGCCCCGGCCGCCATCGCCGCAGCCCCCGCCCCGGGTCTCGCCACGTCAGCGACGTACTCCATGCGTGTCTTCACGACAGTCACCGGGCACAGCAGCACTGCTGCGATCGCGCGAGATATGCCTGGAAAAAGGGGTACCCAGGTATTATATGTTTGCACCTCACAAACATATGTAATATAATTTCCGCACACACACACACACACACACACACACACACACAAACCCCGACCTCACCCCACCTCCGGACATGGCTGCCCCCACGTTGCTGAGCTGCAAGTTGCCATCCACCCCGGGGGCGGAGAGCAGCCACCGGATCTGGGGGGAAAGAGAGAGCCCGGGGGGGGGAGGGGGAGGGCAGGGGGGGGTCCGTGCTTGCGAAGGGGGGAATAGGGACAGCCTCCATAATAATTGGGGTATCCTCCACACGCCCTTGCGTTCGTTTCACTTAGGGGGTCGTGTGCGCTGACCACGTCACCGGGTCCGCTTGGAACCGATTCATCACGGCAGCCGCAATCCCAATCCCGCCTCTCCTCCCCTCCCCTCCCCTCCCCTCTCCTCACCCCAAAGCTCAGAGTCCTGACCATCTGTCCCCAGTTTGGCCTCCGTATGCGGCCTCAGTCCAACGTCGGCAGCTGACTCCCCTTCTTGCACATCACAGGATTGCTCTCTCCTCCCCCCCCCCACTAACCTTCCCTCACACTCCCGCGTCCAGTCCCTCTCTTCATTTTTCTCTCCAGCCCCCGTCCAGGCCCCCCACCCCCCCAGCAGTCACCTGCTCCAGCAGCACGAAGTGCATGCCGGCTCCCAGCCCCACCCGGATGACACTGGGACCCGTGCCTGCCCAGAAGCCCCGCAGGCCCTGAAGGGAAGGGGGGGTTTGGAGGGGGGAAAGACGAACCACGAACGAGTGAAGGGATTGGGGAGGGGGGAGGATCATCCGAACGTGAAGGGTGGATTGGGGGACAGACGAACCACCATGGAGTGGAGTGGGGGACCGCCCAGGGATTCAAGGAAAGGAGGAGGGAGCATCGTCACGCACGTCAACTCGAATGGCCCACAAGGCCCAGATGACTGCGTGTCGAAAGTGGGTTGCCGTTGGCCCCCAGCTGCTACGTCGCCTAGGAGCTACACACTGCAGACTCTCAAAGACACACACACACACACACACACACACCAATGTGGTAAAGCAGGTCGACACATCGGCACATGTACCTGCTCAGAAAGCACCACGCGCGCCGTCGCCAGCGTGCCCCGCACGACTCCCCGCGCCGCGTCAGCCTGCATCTTCGTACGAACAACGTCGAGAGGCTGTCGTACAGATCCCGTGCACCATTGGCATGTCAGCATTGGCCACCAAGATCCCGTTTTGCGTCGGTGCGGTGTTGCAGGGAAAACGGCGGGACGGGGGGCTTACGGGGCAATGAGGGTGAGACAATTCGAGACATGTGAGCAGCGGCACCGTAACGAAGGATTGTCGGCAGTGAGTTCAAGGGCCACATCAAGGGGAAGGAGAACCAAGGAGGTAACAGGCCTCGATGCCGCGGCGACATGGATGACCCCCGTACGGCACAGCTGGGTCAACCGTGTGACCTATCCCTTTTTAAGGTAGCAAGCACCCACCTGGACGCATGCGCTGATAAGGGAGCCGGAGATGGCCCCAGACAACGCAGACACAACGCTGGGTGGCTTCTTGGCACGCTTCCCGTCTTGTTTGTGATGCTGGGGAATGGCAGCTACGGCGCCTGGGTCAGAGACGCCTTCAGAGGGCACAGTTGTATGCGCCATGGCGCTTTTATTGGAAGACATTTGCTCTACGGGAAACGAAATGGGCTACCGACGGAACCTTTTGTGCGAAAGGATGGTACAGACGGTAGAGCTATCTTGCCATGAATTGACTCCTAAATGAGTATAAAAGTAAGATAGGATATATCATAAAGCTTTGTGACATAAAGATGCTCTCGATTGTGCTGTTCTGGCACTGCATGAAACGTGCACGACGATTACAACTAACGACTCTTCATCCCCGAAAGGCTTGCGAATAATTACTACGCATGTTACGAATTAGATTCATAAGAGGCATATTAACGTGTGTTATTTTCCGCCATTCCAGCATTGGAAAGCGCCGCCGAGTCGTAGCCATGCGCCACACGGTGCTTTACTGATTGACGGGAGATCGGTAGCTAGATCCTCTGCGTATCACCATGTTACTCAAGCGTTGCAGCACCGCCTCATGCCGCGTCAGCCATGTGAGCGGGCGACGAGCGGTGTCTATCCCACCACGGGTGCGTCAATCTCCCTGCCCACTCTGGACCACAGCTGCACGGCCCCGACCAGCCTATCCCGATCTGGGTCATCCTCAATTTCCCATCCCCATTCCAAATACACCTTGCTTTTCACCCTTTCCTCCCCCCTATCCGCAGGCCTTCGCCTTTCCCTCAACCCCCTACGCGCAATCTTCAAGCCCGCCCCTCCTCCCTCCCACCCTGGGCACATTGGCGCCAATCGACCTCGGTTCCCGGCCGCTCAGCTACCGCACCATCACCACAGACCCCGTTTTCCGTCCCGTTGTTAGAAGCGACCAGCAAGACGCCCCAGGTCCTCCTAAGCTGCTATCCCGCCACTTGACCTCCAACCCCCTGCACGCCCTTACGGCGTGGCTGCGCGAGCAAGCGGTTCGGCTGGATCTGGCCTTCGCGGCCGCCATGGACCGCAACCCTTTCGCGCACTGGGCGGCGGCGGCAGCAACGGCCGCGTTGACCTACCTGGTGAGCGGTGGCGGCCCACTGCGGGAAGGGCCTTATGGCGGTCGTGATGACGGAGTTGCCTGCAGGGGTTTGGAGGGGTTTGGAGGGGTGGGGGGAAGCGCAGTGGTCCACGTGTTTACCCCCCCTCCGCCCGGTCGATTAATGCGTCGGCAACTGTCTCATCAAAACTTCCGCACGCATCTCACAGTGCTCCATCCATCCATCCATCCATTCATCCTCTCCCTCCTTCCTTTCTTCCCCGACTCTTCGACTCTCGCATGGCGCACAGGGTCTTCATCCTCTCAGTGTGCTGCGTCTGGGTATTCCTGCTGCGGCGGCTGACTGGCTGGAGGCCCGCCTGGGTGGCGAGTGGGCGGTGGGCCTTGTGGGCCTTGTGGTCCTGGCAGTGGGGCTGCTGGCGGCCATGTGGCAGCTGAGGAGCTGGGTGGCCTCACACCTGGCCTTGATGAGGTGCGTCGGTGTGTGTGTGTGGGGGGGGGGAGCGGGTGGTAGTGGGTGGCTGCAGCCGGGTTAGGGGCTGGGTGTTGGTGTTGAGGGCGCGTGTGGGGTGGGCTGGTGGGTGAGGGGTGAGAGAGGCCGACAGGGCGGATAACCGCTGACGCTGTCCTCCAGCCGACCTGCCGACCTGCCGTTGCTGGTGGGGGCTGGTGGGCAGGTGACAGGTGTATTAGGGGGGCTCTGGGGACATCCACGAACCGCAGCTACCTGCGTGCCGTACAGCGGGGCAAGCCGGCGGCAGGGGTAGTAGCAGGGGCAGGGCCAGGTGATGGGGGGGGCGGGGAAGCAATTGTGGCGGTTCGGGGGGTTACGTTCGCGCTGCCGGAGGAGTGTGTGTGTGTGTGTGTGTACCGGCTAAGGTGCTAACGGCGCCACAACCCGTCCTCCCCGTTTCCTTTGTCATCTTAGGCCGCGAACCCAAATGATGATTTGGACCTGGACGGGGGTATAGAGTGGTGTATGTTTTGTGATTACCGCCCCCTTGTGAGACCAACCCACCCCCAACCGAAATATCTGATGCTACCGTGCTACCGCTATCACAATCACGACCCCAGGTTTGAGGCGGTGGTTCGAGCTGCCGCCGCCGTCGTGGCCTCCGCGAAGGAGGAGGAGGAGGCGGTACGGGCCACCGCCACCACAACAACCCCACGGACGTCGTCACCATCACCGTCACTAGCAGCAGCCGCAGCAGCAGCAGCAGCAGCAGACCGGTCGACATCACCTTCAACATCGACATTATCATCTACGTCATCACCTTCGCCTGCAGCAGCAGCAGCGGCAGCGGCGGCTCCATCAGGGCCGTTCCTGAGTTTGGTTCCGGAGCCTTTGCGGGGATTGTTCGCGGGCAATTGGAAGAGCACGGACAGGTACGGTCCAGGGAGAGGGGGATTCTATTCGAAGTCGGGCTTTTTACATTTGGAAGGATCCAGGATCCATTCATGGCCGGCGAGCGGGCAGGTGGGGGATGCGTTCTCAAGTGAGTGGGGCTGTGTGAGAGTGGGGCCGTCCGCCCACACAACAGACCTGTACCAGCGTGCGGTGCATGCGAGGCGCCGCTGCCGCCGCCACCGCCGCCGCCTCGTGTCGATCCCCCGACCTGGGCCGGACCCGCTTGCTGTCCTACTTGCGCCTTGTCTTACGGCCGTACGGCTTTACTGCCGCGCTTCCGACACGGTTTGTGTATTCCGCACTTGACCGTACTGCACAACGAAAATGTACGGCATTCAGGACGTGGCTACTGCTTATCATGGCGGGCCGCCTGAGCGCGCTATATACCGCGGCGAGTTGCCTCCTGTACGGCACTGCCACCGCCGCGGCGGTCACGGCGGCGGTGGCTTACGCCGTAGTGTGCTTCGGAGCCTCGCTTCTGCCCCTGGCGCTGCCGCACATTCGGCATCTGCTGGCGGCATCGCCAAAGGTTGCCGGACAAGGGGGTTCCGCAGCTCTGGCGGCGGCGACGGTGCTTGCCGATGCGGCGTTCCTGATGGCGCTAGCGCCGCTGGCGCCGGCGCCGGCACGCGCCGCAGCAGCGGCGACGCTTGCGGCGTGTTCTGGCCTGGCGGCGGTGGCGGCAGCGGCGTCACCGCGACTGGCGGCGTCGCAGGCTGCACCGGGCGACGTTGCAACGTTCCATGTTGTCGTACGGCTGCCCACCAGCGGTACACTGATCGACACCACCCGGGGCCACCAACCCTTGACGGCTGTTGTGGGGGATGACGTAGCTCCGGGCGTCGACGGCGGCGCCACCGCCGACGGCGCCGCCGAGGCCTCCGTGGCAGCGGCCGGCGACCCGCAAGCGCGCTTCCGGCCTCTGAAGGCGTTGTTGGCGGCAGCGGTGCTGCCGGGCATGTACCTCGACGAGCGCCGGACTGTGGAAGTGGCCGTCGACGGCGACGACGGCGGCGGCGGAATGCCGTTTCGCAACCCAGGCCTGGTTTGGTGGCAGCCTGTAGATGACTTGCAGCGGAAGTTGGGCAGTGAGGAGCGCGCGCTGCGTGCCGGCGATGTGTTTTGGTACCCGGTGGGAAGCCTGGTTTCGGAGCTGGGCGCCAGTGGGCGGCTCAGTACAGCAGCGCCATCTTCGATGTCGGGAGCGTCTTCATCGGCGGCTGCGGCGCTGCCAGGCGCGGATAGCTGGGGTCCTGTGGAGGTGATCGCGGCTAGTGAGGGTTGGGTTCAACTTGATGCGAATGCGGGACTTCGAGGGGGCCAGGCGGAGGTGGAAGTGCAGCTTGTGGGGCTTGGGAAGAAGAAACAGTAGACGACAGTTTCGGCCGTTGTTGTGGCTGGTTGGTGACACAGAAGGCAGGAGGGGAAAGAGGGGGCCCTCGGGTATGTGGGTGGATCTAGTGCTGGTTGTTTGAACTGGGTTGTGTGCGGTGGCGATAGCGATAGCGGTAGCGGAGGTGGTGGCAGCCGCGGCGGCCGGGCTCTGGGGTTAGTGATGAGGGCAGGATGGCTGCGTTAGGTTAGGAAGCAGAGCGGCATGGGGACGTGGGTTCCCACGTTTGGGCGGGCGGGTGAGTGGGAGGAAGAGCAGTGGCAATACAACGCGGGCCGTATATGATACGATAGGGTTGGGGGGGGGCAGGTTGGGGCGACGGGGCCCCGGGTGAGGAGGTTATGATAATTCGGACGCGTGTGGGGCCACCAAAGCCACCATGTGTGTCAGTGCCGTACTTCAGACTGCTGGGGGCTGAGGCGGGTTGTCTCTCGACAGAGGGGGTGCGATGGGCTGTGGAGGAGTGAGGCTGTGAAGATGATGCGGAGGTCGAGGTGGTGTGGAGCCTGCTCCTGCTGCATGTGTGTGTATGCGTGTGTTATATGTTGGGGGAGAACCCTCTTTGCAAACGTGTGACCTGTGTGTGTGTGTGTGTAAATAATCTGAACCGCAAGGAGGGAATTCCCGATGGTGGTGTATGTGTGTGTGCGTTGTGAGGTGTCTTGTAAGATTGGCACAGTGACTGACGGGAGAACGACACTGTGTTCGTTTGTATGTATGTACGTTTGTATGGCTGGCTTTTCTGTCGTGTAAGGCCTTCACACCTCCCGACCCCGTTCCAAGCAACCAAATGATACTCTCAAGCCACACCCGAACATCACCAACCAGCAACAGGGCAACTCTGCAGCCGCCACCGACCTCACCAATAACCCGAACCGGTTAATCCTTTCCTTTCTTCCTTCCGGGCGACCGATTGGCGAGTGGGTAGTGGAAAGCACCAGTTGCTTGCGGACACATGCAGAACGGGTCGCCCTGCCTTACATTTATTGAAGCCTCTTTTACCTCACTCACGTCCCACATCATCATCATCGCCACCACGCGGCGCGACGGATCCTCCAGGGGAGACCAGGGACAGTCCTTCTACACCAACAGGAGTAACACGCGGGGAGCAACCTATCCGCAACTTTTGGCAGGAATCTAAACCCTTTTTGCTGCGCCCGCCCAGCCGCAACCGCTCTCCTTTTGGAAAAGTGAAGGCGGCCCTCAGCAAGGAAAGTGCCCTACGGACACATTCCCTCCGGAGCTCCACATCTTGACAAACATATCCAAGTCATGTCTAACAAACCATCAACCACATAGCCTTTGGCAACGAAAGGAAAAGAATCGCGGACAACTTGCTGGCAGTGATGTCGCGAACCGTCGCAAACGCACGGGACCGTGTGACCACTCCCAAAAAAATATCCTTTCAGATTCCCGGTGTGTGTTGAGATCCACGCACCCACTAAAAAGACCTCTGGCGCATGTTCCTTCCTGCGCGCAACGTGGCCAACGAACCAACCTCCTCTGAACAAGAAACCGACCAACTAACAACAATTCACTTCATTACTCATATACTCAATCGACTCAATCCCCCGATACAATCTCACCCGCACGACCCACTCCTCCGTGTATCTACCACACTGGACATTCATGGCAACGGCAGCTGATCCAGATCCTCTACTTAGCTCTGCGGCTCCTCTTCCCCTGTCGGGTTGCGAGCGCAGCCGTTCCGGATTGACTGCAACAACACCTCTCGCACTGCCATCACGCACTTCCAATAGGACAACGCACCATCCTTCACACCTTCATGTCACATCTTTATGACTCCACCAGAGCCTTCGCGGCTGTCAGGCGGTAGTGGCCAGCAGGGAAAACCGGTCAGGTATAGGCCTCCACGTACTTAAACACACACGCTTACATACACACATACATACATACATACATACATACATACATACATACATACATACATACATACATACGTACATACATACATACATACATACACACATACGTACGTACATACATACAGCTTAACCACCCTGCAACAACATACATACGTACACACAATTTGGGGAAACGAACGCCGCCAACTGCTCTACAAAAACGAGACGAAGGATACAACATATCTGATACAGGTATCAGAAGCAAAGAAGAGCTGCTGAGGGACTGACATTGTCCTACGTAACGCCATCGCAGGTTAGGCTATATCGGTGCAGACTGCACTTAATTACAGACTGCACAATTAAATACATTAAACGACAAACGGGTACGGCAGACGAAACGAAAACAGGGAATGCACTCCACAGCGAACGCCCTCCACAGCATGATGCCCAAAACGAGATGTACTATCAAAAAAAACCACCTTTTTCTCCGCCGTACACCTTGTAACCGCCGTTTCGACCCTCACCTCGTAACGAAACGCACAGCCCACAAGGTTGTGTTGCATTACCCATAGAGCCAACACGCCCTCAAGGGAGGTTGACGACAAGGGGATTGGCCATCAAAACAGCCGCACAACTAAAATTACGGGCCGCCGTAAGGCAGCGCTGCACACCACTGAAACACTTCATCACCATATGGCCATACCAGCAAAACTTTATTCAGGCAGACTACTACTGCTACTGCTACTGGCAACCTGGAAGCAAGCTGTGGTCGCAGTGACTCTGGTCTAGGCTGGCGACTGCTGGGGGGTTAAGACAGCCGCGGTCGTAACTCCTGCACCTGCGGGGGAGGATGATGACGACGAACACGACGGCGACCTCCCAGGGCCTTACGGCCGGCGAATCGAAAGCATACCTCAACAGCAAAACCTTTCTTTGCATAATCCGTTTAGAAAGCAAATTTATTTGAAATAAAATAAAAGTACGACACAAGAAGGAAACAAGCCCAAATGAAATGGAGCACCATAAAATCATAAGTACGGCATCAAAAGGCATTTCCAAACGTAGCGATGAACGGACCGAACGGACCGACCATCAAGCCTACCCTTGAGCGCCTGGAGGGCTCGAACAACAACGCTTCGTGCGCAAGGACTGGCGCATCATCTCCGTGTGATATGGGTAAGCGCTGGCCCAGCAAGGTGCGTTCAAGAGGATCCTAAAACGTCATTAGACTTGATCTTCTCTGCGCGTGCATTAACATATAGACCAGTACGGCAGGTATACGAGTACGGCAGGCCCAGGCGTCTCAAGAACCTCCGGGGCCTGGATCGGAAATCTCCATCACCGCCCATGCAATCCCCCAACGGCGGTGCACAACGCACGTCTTTGGGTTGTTAACCTAGGAATCCTTGCAATCGCTATGACAGCGAGCAACACAACGACAATGCAGTGAGGCGAGTGCGGGGACGGGTCCATAGGCCAGTCCGTCACGCAGTCTGTCAGTCAGTCCGTCAGTCCGTCAGTCACCACCACAACTGCCATCACGAACCTCAGGTCACTCAGTCAGCCGCAACAAACTATGAGCTCTGCATCCGTTGCTCTGTCGCCAGACAGATATTTGTGAAGTGATAAGGCCTATCTTGGCGATACGGAGAGGGGTGGCCATGATGCTGCTACATACAGCGGACTCATACACTCATACCTCCTCTCCCGTCTTCCCCCGGACAGCAAGGGGGGCCCCGACACCGCCAAACGAGCACGCAAACCTCAACCAGCGCCCGCCGTTCCCCCATAGCTAACATGGACATGCCCCGCTGCTCTACACCCTGGGTGACTCAACCCTATATGACCAAACCATCCCAGCTTTAGTCCGCTTACCTTTAGGCGCACTCAGCGGGCGGCTCATGTCTACTTGAGTGCTGCTGCTGCCAGGAGTGTCCAATGGTACATGCTGAATAAAATACCCCCAGGTACCGCTTCCAGACATCCATCCAGGCCAAAAGGACACAAACTTGCATCAGTTATCTAGCCAGTAGCCCCGACAATACTCTTAAAAAGCTTTCAGCGCCCAGCTACAGAAACGAGAGTAGTAGTGCGCGTATAAGCCGGTTATGAACCAGGTGCATGTCCTTTCCTTGCTATGAATGCAGCGCCGCGAGAACATCCCTTACGAGGCACACATACGAGGCCAGCGCGGGAGGGCTGAGCCAGCCGCGAGCTTCAGTGGCGGCCCGCTGCCGCCGCTGTCCCGGTGCCGCCCTCCTCCAGCGTGTGGCACCATCATCCCCCCCCATGCTGATGCAACATTCCTCTGCGCGGTGCAGCTGCACTTGGGGGTTTGCGGGGGGGACTCAGCACAGCTACCCGGCTGGTATAGGAGGACCCGGGGGAAGGCGGGACTGAACGGAACCGACCAACGGCCATCCGGAGCTCCGAAACCAGCACCGAAGCAGCAACAACAGAGGCGCAGCTGCTTAGACTTTGAAACGATTAATCGACAAGCTCGTAGACAGCTGCTCCAGGCGTCCGTTTTTGCACTGTTAAGGTGTCGCCCTCCGACCACCCGCATATGCTGCTGCTGCAGGATGCATCAGAAGCGATGCCGCGCGCAGACCGGGCTGCCGTCTCATCCTCCTGGTTGTTGGCCCCCACCTTCAGCAACCCGAGAAAAAGCTCCTCCCTCCACAGACTGCGCCGCCGCCGGCTTGTGAGCCGCTTCTGAACCCCGTTCAGGCAGTGACCCCAGAGCCCCCGCGTCAGCACCCTGCCCCGTGTAATCCAACCCGCAGTTGTCCGCAGCATCATGGCAGTTTGGGTCGCCAAGCTGCCCTCGCGCCGGTTGCTGCTGCTGGACCGCTTTGTGGTGCTGCTGCTGGGGTCGCTGTTGCTGCTGTGGCGGCTGCTGCGATGACCGGGGCGATGGCTGCGGACATCTGGCGCTCTGTACAGCATGCTGCTGACCTATCTGGTCCTGATAATTATGGAGGTGGTGGTGGTGGTCGTGGTGATGGTGGTAGTGGTGATGATGGGCTGTAACGAAGCCGGGTCGTACGGCAGAGGGTGACGCAAGCCGCCAGGTTGCCGCAGGCGCCGTTGCCACTGCGCCACTCTTTCCCCCCTTACTAGTACCAGAAGAAGAAGAAGCACCAGCCGACCCTAAACCGGGTCCACTTCCGGAGTCAGGGTCCACGGGGCGACCTGCCGCTCGCAGCACTCGAGCCACAAGCTCATGGCCTCCCGCCTCCGCGTGCCTCAGCGCCAGGCCGTTCCTCGCGTGCGGCTGCGCCCCCGCCACCAGCAGCGCCAGCACAACACAGCCGTGCCCCGCTGCGGAGGCCTCAACCAGCGCACGACTGCCATCGACTCGCGGGTCAGCGCCCGCAGCAAGCAGCTCCAGAACCAGCTCCAGGTGGCCGCCGCGGGCAGCCTCCGCCAGGGCGCCGCTGGCCGCCGCTCGCGGGTCGGCGCCGTGACGGAGCAGCAGCCTCGCCGCCGCAACCCTTCCCTCATGGCAAGCGGCACGCAGCGGCATGCCGTTCTCCGCACGCGCACTGACACCTGCACGGAGGAGCACCTCCATGACTGCCACGTGGCCCGCAGCGCTGGCGGCGACCAACGCGCGCCCGCCGCAGCTGCCGGCGTTGACTCCAGCGCGCAGCAGCGTCCGTACGACCAGGGTGTCACCCGCGCCAGCCGCGGCAGTTAGCAGGAAGCGCTCCTAACGAGGAATATGAGTGGAACGCGACATGGAGTCAGTACTAAAAAATCTGATGCCCAACACAGGCCGATATAAAAAATAGTGACTCGAATCTTAATGTAATTATCAAGAATATAATGTACCTGTGGTTTTAGAGCAGCGCCAAGCTTAAGCAGCTCCGTCACAATGGCATCAACTGCCGCAGCGCTGACTTCGCTGTGATGCACCAGGTACTCTCTAAGCCCCGGCGACCCGTACAATCGAAACAGAGCTGTATCACGGCCGTGGAGCCTTAACAAAAAACGCGCAGCAAGCTCTGGGCACAATAACGCCGTTCTAAAGCTTCGGCATAAAGTCTTGCAGCTGGATGCTGCAGCCGCTGCACCTGACCCAGATGAGACGAGAACCAGATGGAGTATAGGCTCTGGAAGGTCTAGCAAGATAGGCCTGCTCTCCGTTTTGCCGAGTTCAACCGTCGCACTGCTGGGCAATGATAACTTACATATTGAATCCGAGCAAGCTACATCTGTATGCATTATCAGTGTCTTAGGTTAAAGACTCCCCGACCCCGAAAGTTGGGAATGGCCGCGTTCCTGTATCGCCACCGACGTAGCAGCCACTCTAGAAGGATTTCCAGCAATGATCTGGCTCTTGGGATGATAAATAATGATATTATACTACTTTGGTGTTGACGAGCTGCGCAAAGCGCAAGCAAGGATATCACCTAAACTCTGGATCACAGCCAACAACTAAGAGATATTTTGCAATGACATGCTAGTACTGTCAGCCTTGCAGGCCCTTGAAGCGCGTCCGAGTAAGGCAGATGAAGATTGATTAGAAGGCCTAACTATAAATAGTACGGAACACGAGTAAAACGTAATATCTGCGCTCTAAAAGTTATGTTCACGAGGCAGAAAACTTGTCATGCTGGCACAATGACGATTTTTTGCTTTATCTATTCGCGGCGGTAAAGCCGCACTCTGCAATCAAGTAATGGGCAGCCGTGGTCGCGAAGGCCCATTCACCCTTCATCGAGTCTTCCAGAATTTGAAACTGAGCTGGCTTCATGGTACAAACTATTGATTGTGAAATTTTGAAATGTCGAAGCTTTGGTCCACATCATAGCAGTGAGGGGTGCCCCTGCGCGCAACCTTGCTGTGCAACCCGACCGCCCTCCTCTTTCCCAGTCGTGGTGTTTTGCGCCGCAACACAGCGCATATTCAGAAACCACCCTGCTAGAGCGTCAGATCATGAGGGACACCTCAGGCTTCTTGCTGGTCGCCTTTCTTACCGTATTGCTCTGCAACGCTTTGCAATGCTCTGCAATTCCTCGTACGGGCTCAGTTGCGTCAGGAAATGACGGAAATGGCTGGATTTAAGAACCAAGATATTCATAACAGGGTTTTGTTGGCCCTCATCCAGGTGCTGCTGGGCCCGCGGCACCTGCCCACCAGTCCAGCTTTGCGAAGGAAGCAAAAACACCGCAAGCTCCGGCCGCGTGCTGTAGAGGGCTGTCGAGACGGAGTTCACAGCCACCACCAGCACCTACACTATCATTATCATTATAATCATATTCATCACCAGGTTTATGAACGGCGGGGTGCCGACCCGACCCGCAGGGCGATAGAGTCAGCACCCGCAACCGCAGTTTGTTCTCCTCGCAGGAAAAACAGCCTTCAGGAGCCCAGGAGGCTTAAAAAGGGCAGGAAAGGCAGGGCGGGGAAACAGACGGGTATATTCATTGCGCTGCCGCCCCTCTGCCCTTCTCGTCAGGTGGTCCTTGCTTTCCGACGTTGAAGGTGTACGGAGGTTACTCGAGGCTCCTGACCCAGAGGAAAGGACAGACGAGAAACTATCCGCTGTGTGCTGCCCCGCCTCGCTGCCTGCCTAGGACGGTGCACAAAATGCTCGTATCTGCCTGTGTTTCTTCGTCACCAGCCACGTTCGCAGGGTAACTGGAGCCGCGCCCAAGGCTCCCGACGCTCTTGGATGACAGCCTTATGCAGATAGGCGCTCTGAAACGCTGAGCTTGCGCTTCATGCTCTCTCTAGGCCTGTCAGACGAGATGCTTAGGACCAGCAGGGAGGACCTTGGTGGCAAATCATAATTCCTAAACAGGAAAGGATGTGGAAAGAAACCTCTTTTTTTGATTTGTTGTGCACCAAACTGAGTTGGGATGGCATTACGGTGTAACGCGCGGTACGGGGAAACATGCATGGCACTAAAATGAATTGCAGGAAAAGAACGAGCTCCCCTTAAGCTGGACTGCGTAAACTCATGGAACTTGCGGCCCAAAGGTTAAGGTAAGGTTGTAAGGAAATTGTAAGATACCCTACGGTAATCCCAATAGCTCGGAAACTCTCATTTACACATCACCCATCTTTTAAACGGGGACCGTGTGGCTTTCTTACATGGCCTCTGTCGTTGTTGGAGCCCGTTGGAGCCCGTAGGTAGGCAAGTGTAAAACAGTATGAAGGCGTTACAGCGCCCTCCAATAGATCTAGTTCAAGTTTCACGCTGTTTGGTGTTCGGTGGGGCTTGGGAAATGAATTCCCAGCCCGGCACGTGAGGCTGGTCAAGACCCTGGAAACGGGCGCCTCGGAGTGCTCAGGGGGGGTATTCTAAAGGACAATATTAACGGGAACTGCTACATAAACCTACGTTGCAGGATCTCGACAATGTACAAAAGCCTTGAGTCTTACAGGCAAGGCAACGACCTCCCAAGCAATCTGCAAGCACCACACATCCTAAGCCAGTGATGTGAGTAAAAACGAGATGTTTTCTCTGTTTATAATCTAGTCGTTTATGAAAGAGTCCTAACGAGGCTTTTTATGGGGAGGCCATGTCACAAAGTCACCCACGTGGCGACCATGCAACCGAAACGCGTTGCCACGTGCTTGGCAAAAAGTGAATCTCGCTGAAAAACTTAAAATCCGTCTTGGGGTTGCAACTAATCATGTTTCAAGGAATGACGGGTTTCTTTTGTTGACTGAATGCATGTTCAATCCAACTATGCCCTTCTTCAGACCAGCAACACAAAACAGGAGACACAGCGGCCGCCCAACAATCCAACCAAAAAAAAATCCTATTACCGAAAAACATCATACATTCGGACATGCACCCTCTTATGGCATTATCCTACCCGGAAAACGACGGCAGCTTTGGCCTGCTGGGCTTACGGCCTTACGAAACTCCCCGGTTTGGGGCCTCCCCTGGGCTCACACAGGCGCTTCTTGGGAAGCTGCTTCACAGCTTGAAGTTTACGCTGGCCATAGCTATCGCGTGGATCTCCTCTTTTTTCAACACTGCCCTTTCTGTTGCTCGCTTTGGTCCTGGGGGCCATAAAGGCCCTATAAGCCCTGAGATAAGGTACAGTAGGTTAGGGGTGCGTTTACGCGAACTTACACACAGTCGCAGGTGCGAGTCAAACAGCTGGTCGCGGACCCCGTTCGACAACTGAGGTCAAGGCCAGCTCCTCCGACAGGTGCTGCGTGAACGAACTCTTGGGTGCGCGCATAACCGCCATGACACGATGACCACCAAAGACTGCTACTCACTGGCGCGGTTTACCCCCGCCAGCCCAGCCGAGCCCTTCCAGCATGGATAGCTTTCCAGTCTTCGCGTCGTTCATCTAGTTGCCAGAGGAGTTCCCTGCCTGGTGCCATCCCGGGAGGCTTAAGGCGCCACTGTCTGTGTGTATGAGGGCTGATTAGGCGCTTTGGGGAGAAAACGGAGTGCATCTACTCGGGAGTTCCTTGCCGGATGTAAATGATATGAGTGTCAAGTCCCGACCCCACCCGACTGAGGTTAAAAGTGGGGCCCTGCGCGGGACTGAATAAGCAAAGTGACGTCACGGGAAATGGAGAGCGATGCGAACCACAGAACAGCAGATCAGGAAAGCGAAAGGGAATGAATGCGTGGCATATGAATACACGGCATGTCCCAGTAGGTGGTTTCCCAGTCCGGCTTCCCTTGGAGGCTGTTTTCCTGGAAGCACGGAACCTTGCAGCGAAGTTATAATACAGCTTGTGCATGTTTGGCTACAATTTCCCATGACTTTCCACGCTGGACGATGACACGCATTCTCATAGGACAGGACAACAGCAAAATTTTGCTGGCGCGCAAATCCAGGACGCCTGCCTCCTAAAAACGCACTCACCGGCGCCCGCTACCGGGAGAGAACCAATACCGGGAGAACGAGAACTGCATGTGGGCCGTCTGGACACTCATCCAATCCCCCATGTCCTCTGTGCTTTCCGCTTCAAGGCAAGGCAAGGGCTGACGCACGCCGACCACACCCCGTCCCGCCCCGTCTTTATACTCCCAGCGCACCGCCTCACCACCATGGGACGCCGCTGCACATCGGCTGTCCCACCCCTCCTCCAACCCCCCTCCACCCATACTCCTCTTCACAACCACCAGCACCGACTTTAAGCCCATCATCGCCACCGTCGTAACGACCACCGTCCTCTGTCTGCGTTACACAATCAAATAGTCCGTTTTCCCACAAGACGTAGTCGTCATTCATCCGCCTGGCTGGACTGATATGTATGTAAGCGGGAAGCGGGTTGCAAGGAACGCTTGGGAACTGGGGGCCCTGCCGGCCTGGGCGGATGAGGGCAGGGCCCAGGGTTGGGCAGGTTCCCCGGACCCGGCACCTGGCGGCTACCAATAGCGCCACAGCGAAATTCGGTTTATGCCTGAGGCCGCTGGGTCGCGAAGGTCCTTGTGGGAACTGCCTGCCCACCCGGCCACTAGTCAGCAACGTTGGGCGACCCTCACGCTGCAGCCTGCATGATTTGTTGCTGCTGCAGCAGGCCGTTCTGGCGCAGGAATGCGTTCAGGGCGTTCACAAATTGTTCCGACCTGTAGCAGTGGTGCCCGCGGCAGCAGCGCGGCAGGAGAGGAGTTGTGTATGGGATGCATGCACGCAGGTTTAGCATAGCGCCATGGGCGCCCCCGGGTCCCTTCCCCCCGGGTAAGTGAAGGGACCCGGGCGAAACACCACTACCGTGGGGGCCGAGGTTTCTCTTTCTTCACATGCCTAGATTAGCGACGAGTTCGCTGGTCCTTTAACCCCGAGTGTTGCTCTTGCCTCTAAACCCCTATCCGTGCATAGCGCGTTGAGACCTACTGCGGCACTCACTGGAACGGTTGACCTGGCACGTACAACGGGTTCTTCACCACATACTCCACAAAGATGTCGTCATACAGCGCCTGCAGCACGTCTGTGAGGTCCGGAGCCTCTCGATGGGTATTGAGCACCAGCTGCAGGATACGGTGGAAAGCCCTGGCCATGCGGTCCCGCGACATTTGCGACACTCGACCGGGGTCCACTTACCTTGATGCCCGACGGCACCTCGAGAAAATTGCACTTGTAGCTATTAGTTGTAAAGCTCCTGAATTTACATCCTTGTCCAATTTTACGTGGTGTCCCAAGCTGTGGCTTGTTCTGACTGCGATGGCCAAAAAGCCACTAGGTATACAGAAAAGGATCCTGTGGCTTTGTGCATATTTATTTACTATGCTTACTCCTTGGGGTCCATTGTTGCACAAAAGTTGCTTAGGGTCCAGAACAACCCAAACATTTGTTTTTGATCATCCTGAAGTGTACCTGCACCTTGCTTTACTGACTTGGGACGGAACCATTCGTGATAATATATACACGTTCCTTGACGGTTGAAAATGTAAACATTGAAGCAACCCATAGTTCGCGAAATGTGAGGTGTGAGGCTTCCCGGGGCACTTACACCGTGTGACAGCAGTGCAGCGAAACTGCCTCGTGTAAGGAAAGCGCCATGCCGGTACATATACCCCGCTGGCGGACGGTCCCCTGTCCGCAACGCCGTACATCCTGACCGTTCCAGCGGACGCCTAGCGGACGGTCATGGAAACGATGGTCCAAAGCTCCAAAACATCTGTATGTAGATGATTCACGAGACGCTAATAATTAATGCTCCAGCTTGCACTCCTTGGCAAGCAATTAACGCGCAAAACACTCGCCAGGAGAAACTAACCCCAAAATTGTGACGCACATAGTCAAAAGGCTTCTAGCATAAAAGGAGAAAGCAATCGAAAGAAAAAAGACAACATCCCAAGGCGCGCGGCGGACATTCTAATGACCTGTTTATGTAACCTGCTTAAATAACACCAACGCACTGGAACAATTAAATCATGCAATAAGGTCATTGCAATGGCCACAAGCACTGGGCATTAGTGAAAGGGATTCAGCAAAAACTGACCGTCACGCCCAACACGTCGTTCCATCCCTTTGTCGGCTCTGAATGGCACAATGAATGCTCTACTGGGTAAATGATCATTTGGCGGTGGAAATAGGCCATTGTATGGCATCCGAGCTGGCGCACAGCTTGCGCATGTCCCCAAGACCCAACACGGCACCACGCCCCGCACCCGGTTATGCCCTTGTCCTGCATTCCGCCTGCCAGCCTATCTGTGCAACACAGCGCATGGCGGACAGGCCAACCAAGCCATACCAAGGTTTCAGTGAAGACTGGGGTCCCAAGCTCTCAGAATCCCAGACTGCCAGGCTCCCAGGCACATAGGCTGCCAGGCACACAGGCTCTTAGAATCCCAGGCTGCCAGGTTCCCAGGCTGCCAGGCACATAGGCACACAGGCTCTTAGCATCCCAGGCTGCCAGGTTCCCAGGCTGCCAGGTTCCCAGGCTCCCAGGCACACAGGCTCTCAACATCCCAGGCTGCCAGGTTCCCAGGCTGCCAGGCACACAGGCTCAGGCTGCCAGGTTCCCAGGCTGCCAGGCACACAGGCTCAGGCTGCCAGGTTCCCAGGCTCCCAGGTTCCAGGCACACAGGCTCCCAGGCACAAAGGCTCTTAGAATCCCAGGCTGCCAGGTTCCCAGGCTGCCAGGTTCCCAGGCTGCCAGGTCCCCAGGCTGCCAGGTTCCCAGGCTGCCAGGTTCCCAGGCTGCCAGGTCCCCAGGCTGCCAGGTCCCCAGGCTGCCAGGTCCCCAGGCTGCCAGGTCCCCAGGCTGCCAGGTCCCCAGGCTGCCAGGTCCCCAGGCTGCCAGGTCCCCAGGCTGCCAGGTCCCCAGGCTGCCAGGTCCCCAGGCTGCCAGGTCCCCAGGCTGCCAGGTCCCCAGGCTGCCAGGTCCCCAGGCTGCCAGGTTCCCAGGCTCCCAGGCACACAGGCTCTCAACATCCCAGGCTGCCAGGTTCCCAGGCTGCCAGGCACACAGGCTCAGGCTGCCAGGTTCCCAGGCTGCCAGGCACACAGGCTCAGGCTGCCAGGTTCCCAGGCTCCCAGGTTCCAGGCACACAGGCTCCCAGGCACAAAGGCTCTTAGAATCCCAGGCTGCCAGGTTCCCAGGCTGCCAGGTTCCCAGGCTGCAAGGTCCCCAGGCTGCCAGGTTCCCAGGCTGCCAGGTTCCCAGGCTGCCAGGCCCCCAGGCTGCCAGGTCCCCAGGCTGCCAGGTCCCCAGGCTGCCAGGTCCCCAGGCTGCCAGGTCCCCAGGCTGCCAGGTCCCCAGGCTGCCAAGTCCCCAGGCTGCCAGGTCCCCAGGCTGCCAGGCACACAGGCTGCCAGGTTCCCAGGCTGCCAGGTCCCCAGGCTGCCAGGTCCCCAGGCTGCCAGGTCCCCAGGCTGCCAGGTCCCCAGGCTGCCAGGTCCCCAGGCTGCCAGGTCCCCAGGCTGCCAGGTCCCCAGGCTGCCAGGTCCCCAGGCTGCCAGGTCCCCAGGCTGCCAGGTCCCCAGGCTGCCAGGTCCCCAGGCTGCCAGGTCCCCAGGCTGCCAGGTCCCCAGGCTGCCAGGTCCCCAGGCTGCCAGGTCCCCAGGCTGCCAGGTCCCCAGGCTGCCAGGTCCCCAGGCTGCCAGGTCCCCAGGCTGCCAGGTCCCCAGGCTGCCAGGTCCCCAGGCTGCCAGGTCC